CTTCATTTTAAATTGATTTTTAATTTTACTGAATAAAATATTTAAAATACATTTCAAATACTTTTAAGATGTAAATTAATTCAATTGGGAAATACCTGCCTACATTTAGAATAAAATGTTATCAATCACGTGATAAAAGCCAAGCTTGTACTGGCTCAATAATGATTAGCGCACAGCCACATATAGGTTATTGAATGTTTTTTACGATAAGTGTTTACGCGTCTATTTATATAGAATAAAACATTTAGGTAGGAAACTACTTGAAAATATAAATTGGCTAGGTACTTCAAATGTTTTTACAATTTCATTAATTATTCTGTTATTGAGTTTTGTGATTACTGATTAGGTATCCGAACTGACATAATTATTACGCACTAGATATATAGGTATATAGATTGATCATATTATTGTACTACTAATTATTTCGTTTTATCGTATTTGAGATTAATTACTAGGTAGGTAACCTATTCAATACTATGCGTCTATGCATGATTATAGTTAAAAAACAAATTTTATAAAAGGTTCAACTTTTACACCTAAGGATTGAAAATTTAAAACAAGGTTCCACGTAAATAGCTGTTATATATAATAATGTATTCACTTTATTGAAGTTTATTCACAATAATATTATCAAATATAATTAGTAATATTATAGGCTGTCTGACCGTCATCGCCCAGAATCGTCTTTCTTATACAATGTCCAATGAGATTATATCATTGAATTTAAATTTGACACCATCAATTACAGTGACCCACTGTATTTTAGTAACCTAGTGTTCAACAGAGCAACACCCATTTGCCAACCTTTTTTACTTTTGACTACCCAAAGTGACTGAAAGATACTGAGGTTGAAAATCTAAGCATTATTTCGACTACTTATATCGTGTACAATGTACATAGACACAAAAAAAAAACAAAATTTAAAATTTAAAAAATTAAAAAAAAACACATCATTGTAAAATCAATACATTCATCGCTCCGCTCACAATCTAAAAGTGTCCCACAGAGTAGAAAAAATCCATGAATTATTTTAATTTAAAATTTACTAAAAATATTGTTTTAAACACACGTTTTTTATTGATGTTTAAAACATAATCAATATGGTTTTTTTTCTGATGTTTTAAACGTTTTTTTAACAAAATGTTTTAAATATAACAACCCTGACTAGAGACAATGACCATGACAAAATATATAACATTTAATAGGTACATCCTAGGATTCAACAAATAAAATTTTAACAAACTTTTTATTTATATACCTAACTACCTAGTTATTATTACAAGCAACTTAGGTACATATTAATGAGGTATCTGCTTATAATATAATATTATTAATTTATTGTGTCCATGTCCAATGTAAAACTTTTATTCTTCTAGGTAGTGCTTTTTTTTTTATAAAAGCAGTCAATATTTATTTTTATACATTGTCATATTACATTCGTTAAAAATAGACAACCACTGCCCACTTGTGATGGGTGACTTGTTTGTACCTCCATTACGCCTTTCGTGATACCAGCTAAAATTAACTATTTATAGTTGGTTACGTATACATGTTTGAGTTAATGCACCTATATACCTACTATATTTGTATATCACATATTATAATATCATAATAATTATACATTTGATTTAATTTTGTTTTTTTCTTACATACTTAATTACCTATATCGTAAAAGTTAATTTCAATATATTTTTTGATTTATCATATTTTGTAATATTTTTGCAATTGTAATAGATATGGTAAAACTACCACAATACATGTATGTACAATGTACCTTCCTACTCTTTTAACTTATGATATTATTGCGAATAAAATAATTTATATATATAACACATTTACGTGGAATTTTGTTTTAAATTTTCAATAATTATCTATAAAAGTTGAACATTTTATACATGTTTAACTACAAACAATTATTAAATTTTAAATTTGAACTTTAAATGCTTATAAATAAAAATTGTACCTGAGTATTAAAAATATTTTTCAATAGTCATTATTACAATATATTAGGAGCCTTGTATTAAATTTTTAAGCTTTTTTACAATACCTTCATGTAAAATTTTATTGACATTCATAAAAAAAATTGGAAACTAAAAATGTCCGTAACAGTTCCAAACATATCAAATTATTTTGAAAATTTTATGATATATAGAAAATGATAATATAAAATATGTTCAGATAAAATGTCATATATATTATGATAAATTGTTTTAGAGTTATACCAAAAACCAAAATCGATTTTGTCGAAACCTGATTTTGCGTATCTTAAATTCCTAGTATTTCTTAATTTTTGTTCCCCTGTGTTTTTGTAAACTGTGGTAATTTAAAATGTTGACTTCCCCAATGCACCAACTAGATTCACTTTCACATCGAACAAGATACTGAAATTGAAAACCGAAGCATTATTCCGACTACTTATCGTGTACACAGGTACAAAAAAAAAAAAAACAAAATAATAAAATATAAAACACAGCATTGAAAATCAATACATTCATCGCTCCGCTCAGAATCTGAAATTCCTAATTAAGGCTCTAGAAGTTAATATATAAAATACATAAGTAAAAATCTAGATAATATTGTTACTTAATATTCATGTAGTATATAAGCAGTCTTGTAAAGTATTCGAATACAAGTATTTGAATACTTGTATTTAAATACTTTTTGGAGTATTTATATGGTATTTTAAATATAATTTTTTTTATATATTTTTTTAAAGTATTTTGAATACTTTTTAAAAGTATTTTTACCAAAATTTAAATACTTTAAAGTCCGTTTTATTAATTTTAATTTATTATTTTTCAAAAACAATTGACATCAATAAAAATAATATTGTTTTCGTTGAAAACTAATATTATGTTTTTGTATAGTAAAAGTAAGTAATAACAATGTTTGAAATTTAATAAATACCACATCGAATTTTATATAGATTCTGTATTGGAATTTTTTAAGAAAACTTAAAATCTAATAATTTTAAAATAGTTCCATATTAATAGTTAATACCACTTTTTATTTTATTTTTTTCATTAAAATTTAATCAATATATTTATATATTTAGTTAAAATATATTTGAATGCAGAATGAAAATATATGTGTACATACACAAGCATGTATTTATCTCTAAATAGTCAGACATGTTATAGTAATTGTTAAAATCTATGGAAAGTAGTAACATAATAGGTACCTATACTGGTGTACAAAATACATATATATTATATAGCATACAATTCAAACAAATACTTTGTGAGTATTCGTAAAATACATTTTTATAATGGTATTTTAAAAGTATTTATAATACTTTTTTATTCGAATACTAGTATTAATATCTTAGTACATTTTCAAAAGTATTTTTTACAATACTTTTACATTGTTCAATGCGTTATTTAATATTCGGTGTATGATGTTCTAGATTTATCTTAACTTTTCTGTTGCCCGGAATAAAAATTCTGAATTCCAGCAGTACATTATCAGATAGGTAATTTATTTGCGGTAGATCGCGGACCCCGTGCTGTTTGTACGTATAAGTGTATGATTTAACTCAAAAAGTATACCAAAGTTATACCAAGTTTGACGTTTTTACTTAATTCCACCTACCTATAAATCCTAACCTAACCTAACCGTACTAAAATCCGATGAATAAAAAAAACCAAATTTAACCCTTTTTAAATTAGCGTATCTTCTTCCCATAGGTCATTCATCTATATATATAAAAATGGAGAATATATATAAAATTCGAAATTGCATCAGTTGAGAACGGCTGGGCCGATTTTGCTCAAATTTTTTTTAAGATGTTCGTAATTGCCAGGTGAAGGTTTTTACGAAAGAAAATTTTTAAAAAGTCAACCGAATAATTAGAAAAACTGCAAAAACTATTTATTGATGTCTGGGATTTGAACTCGATACCGTTGTCTTTATTTACTCTATTGTGTATTATATTATATTGGTTGCTATTGGTTAATCGGGCATGTTTGTTGATTTGTATTATTATTTTTTGTAAATATATCTCATATATAAATGAATGACGGTGTGTAGATTAGACCTATGGGAAGAAGATACGCTAATTTAAAAGGGTTAAATTTGGTTTTTTTATTCATCGGATTTTAGTACGGTTAGGTTAGGTTAGGATTTATAGGTAGGTGGAATTAAGTAAAAACGTCAAACTTGGTATAACTTTGGTACTTTTTGAGTTAAATCATATATATATATATAGAAGATAATGATAGTTTTCACTTAAAGCACTGGTTACTAATTGTTATAAAAATTGAAAATAATAATTTGTACGTAGAAACGGTCGGTACAACGTACGGGCAGAGACAGATATTTTCGGCGGCCGTATTCGCGTAGACGGAACGGCGGCACGATATCATTTAATCTACATATTATATAACTCACAAGACATTTAAATAGGTACATACAAAAATAAATATTATGACAACAGGTGATAGTGTGTGTGTGTGTGTGTGTGTGTGTGACCGGCTATCCTCGCTGCCCGACAATGATAAATTTAAATGATGCGTATATAATATTATATTTTAATCATGTTGCGGCGGCAACAGATCTATTCCTGTAGAATCTTACGGAGCTGGCACAAACCTATTACGAATTTATTTTTCATGCGATAATTTTTGTCTGTGCACGCGAGTCAATAATAGCTATTATCATTTTCTCTAATCATACACTTAGTGTACATATTTTATTAATTGACCTTATACCTTAACCTGATGACAAAACAAAAAAATATAGATAACCCAATTCACGTCTTATAAATAAACAGATTATGGATCGGTTAGTACAGTAATGAATAGTGAACGCCGTTCGAACTAGTTGTACGCAAGTTCTGCAGTTCGATACGTAATCTCTGATCTCTGTTTGTCGTCGTTGTTGTTATTAAATAATGTACGTAAATACTGCTATTAAATATATCATATCCGGACGATGAATCGACAAGAGGAACCGGGAAAATATAATTTCAAAATTTGAACACGGATTTTGGATCAAACGAGATGGACGTGCGTGTGATTATTTATTTTTTGGGAATCGCGGTCGGAGCGTTTGCAGCCGAAGTGGAGGAGAGGCCGATAACATTTTACAAAGATTTGTATTACAAGGGAGAGTCTAGAACCATGGCGGTCAGTGTTGGAACACCCGAAGGTTCGCCTTGCGAATCTTGCTATAATTTCATAGGCGACGTAGCAAACCTATTGAAATTCCGACGACCGGGATCCATAGAAGTACCTCCAGATCATTATATTCGACTTTATGAAAACTTTAATTGTCACGGTCATCATATGACATTTTGCGGTACCGCTTGCGATTGTAATAGTTCGCATATCGACCTGTCCGACAATAACCAAAATTGCTACGTTAAAAATATTTCGCGACAATTTTGTCCGATTGATACTGTTTTTTATACAATGTTTGAAAACGATGATCATTCTGGATTGTATTCGTTTTCCGTTCATAAAAGACCCGAAGAAGGTCAGATATTGTCGTTAGAATATCCGGGCTCTGTGTCTGGTAAATGTTTATCTTTTGAAAAGTGTACTGCCAACGACATTCTAAGAAGGAGATCAACTACGAACGAATTACCGACGTGTTCTTGGGAAGTTAAGGAAAACAATTATATGGAAGGTGGTGGGGAATATTGTTTTTGGCGAAGATGGCTTGTAGCCATGCACTACGGAAATTATTTGTTACAGTTCACCAGAACCGTCAATAATAATAATGATAAAATTATATCAAACCAACTGGTGACCAACTGGTCATTTCTGGCGCCTTATGGAAATTTTTTCGGAGTCCAGCCCAGGTACGACGATAACTATTCCAACGTATTATACGCAGTTTTATTTAAGTCAATAACAAATTCAGTACCTCGAGAACATAAGGAAGCTCTTCGAAATTGTGCTTCGAATGTTTTTGATTATAGGCGGGAACACTTTTATGGGGAAAAAATTCGAAATTTTTTAAAAGTGTTGGCTACAAAACCCAGAGGTCAGACTCTCATTGAAGCAACCCGTTTCAATATTACAGATTTTAGAATTTTAGTGCTTTGGGATATGATCAAAACAGCACTAGATGTCGTAATTAGAAACCTCGAAGGTGGAGTGTCTGCAATGCCAGAAAGTGAAGCCGAATCTTTTTACCTTAAGGTCAATGGTATTATAGAAACTCTCTGGAGAGAGCGCTACGATAAGATCTTCAACGCTCATACACATAACGTGTAATGGAATATCTCCACGGAGCACTTAAATATACATAGTACTTTAAGAAATTCAGATTATAATATAGCAAACGTAACGGAAAATAAATATTGTTTTATCTTATTAATATTAAAGTTGTAATAAAATATGAGATTTCGGATTATGTAGCATTGTAGTTTTTAGTTTATAGAGGACCGTTGTTTGTTGTATAATAAATTCTAACATTAGTACCAATAGTAAAAAGACTTTATTTATTTTAAATATGCCTATCAATTACTTTCAATAAATTGTAACATCCGCAGGGTAAACGTAAGACATATTACACGACAAGGTACATTTTATTTTTATAAGTTTATTATGCACATCTGCAGTGTGTGAATGTTCTGGGATTCTGGCCTAAAATATAAACTATTGGTATAATGGTTAACATGGACCAGACCCACCTTTTAATGTTGGATCTATTCCTGTGGAATCTTAAGGAGCTGCCACAAAGTTATTGTGACAATATTGTCGTTGTCGTAGTTGAACATGAGGAAGCTCAGCTGTACAATATTATAATTTAATATTTTATTCTTTTCATGTTGATATATGTAGAACATTATAATATAAGAATTATATAAATGCATTGGTTTTTTAATTATATAATGCATTTATATTTATATATTTATATATTGAAACCAAACATAAAGCATATTTACTTTATACCTGAGAATAGTATAAAAGTAACAAATTATAATTTAATATAAATTAATTAAATATAAAAAAAAGCATCTACTTAATACTTTAAGTTATATTCTAAAGCAACAATATATAAATAAAAATAACTCAATATGTTTATTATGCATTATGTTGTAATAATAAATAATTAATAGATAATAGATAATAGATAATAATAATAATAATAATAATATTATCACGCACATTCATACATTCATGAAAATGAGACCAATTTTGAATACGTAAACGTATAAATTAAACGTAATTTACGATTGTTTACCCTTTAATTTATTTTAATGTTGTAGGGGGGGGGGCAAAAGTATCTTCGATGCCACTGACTCCATACTCACAATATATTAATCGTTTTTTAATGCAATGAAATGGATTTAGAATATTCATTAAAAAAATATTCAAATACAATATTATAAAATTAGTACTGTGGTCTGTGAGTAATGACATAGAAATCCATTTCAAGGTACTGTAGTGAAATATGTGAAATTTTATGTTCCATATTTTTGCATATTTAGAGGTTTTTTTTTAACTATTTGGCATATTTATACGTTTTTCTATTTTATTGTGCATATTTTTACCGAAATTTGATCAAAATGCAATAATTTATATTATTACACAGTATGGGAGTTTCCGCAACATCAAATTATTAAAAATAAAACGTATAGAGCAGATAAAGCGAGTACAAACGTACGTATACGAACGTATAGGTACGTAGCCCGCATTAAGAAATTAGTAGAAAACATGTTATATGACATATTCTTTGGATTTAAATTTTTCAGATTTAAAATGAGCTGACTGGACTGGACTGACTGGATATTTTTTTAATTGATTATTATTATTTATTATTAATTGAATTGAATTTAATTGATTTGTATATTTTTTGAAATTGATATAATAAAATATAACTTTTAATAAACTTTTAATAATATGAATGAACATTTTTTGTTATTCCAAAATTTACTTATAGTATTTTTATTTTTTAATCTACATATTTTTGATACACATTTTTAGATTTTTAGTGCATATAAATGCATATTTCTGAACTTTTAAAGGCATATTTCAATGCATATTTTTCCAGTTTTTAGTGCATAAGTGCATATTTATTTAGGCATTTTTTAGAGCATGAACTCACTAGCCCTGCTAATGAGTATGAGGTTGCAGTATAATCTGATTTATAATCCCAAAAAATTGCTCACAATAAAAAGCTCATTGATGAATGATTATAGTCAGAGGTCGCCCTTGGATAGCTAAATCCAAAGCTTAAAGAATGTAGATACCAGCTGATATGTAAACAAATTAACTCGAGTTTAATTATCCATCACAGTTTTATCAATTTTCGAATAGAAACTTTATTACAGTATTAAGACTATATATAAGCACTTTGTTACCGGTTTAATTACTTGTTTATTAGTTACCTACCGTTCAATTGTTTAAGAATGTTTAACATAAAGTTGTCGAAAACGTATTTAGCCCAAAGCCGTTTGTTTGAAGAAGTGCTCAAGACAAAAGATCAGTGTTTAAGACTTTAAGTATATATTCACTGTATTTGGTTACAATATTAATATCGATTACAATTTATAATTAAGTTTATAAGACCAACAATAGCTGTTAACTGTTTTTGTTTCAGCGAAATAAACGTATAAATGGAAGAAGGTACCCTATACGTATATTATTGGGAAGACTAACATTATATTATGTGCAAAGGTACAGTGTACACTGCATGGATATAATATGTATTGACGTGTCGATGTTAATAAAGTTCTTGAGATATTATGAAGTTTGTTCGAGTTTAAAATTAATATAATTGTAAGTATTTAATATAATAAATATGTATATCCTAATACTCTTTAGGTAATAAATAAATGTACAGATATCAAATCTCAAAATGAGGAAAGGGGGGGGGGGACCTTTCAATATATTTTTTTTTTCATCAAAATCCAGTTACCCACACAAATTTAAATTATGACATACAATATGTCAATATAATATATTGAACCTACAAATTACAATTGGGGGACGAGGTGGCCGAGCGGTCTAACGCGTCGTCTGCGGCGCTGGCAGTCGCGGGTTCGACTCCCGGCCACTGGGCGGCATTTTTCTCCGGGCAAGTCACGGTGTCCGGAAAACAAGTGCCGCCATCCCCCACTCCGGGGAATGGCAGAAACCTACAGGTGCCCCATTCAAAATTCTGCAAAAATACACCCAAGTGTAACACCCCCCTACCGTTAAAAAAAACCTACAGTACCAACCCCCTCTCCCAAAGGCCCAAGTTGCTGCTGGATAAAATTAATAAAAAAAAAAAAAAAAAATTACAATTGTCAGTTACGTACATTTGTACGTTTGATGTAGATACAAATACCAGTGATATATATACTTATACTTGTATAGTATTGTGTGTATGAGAGATTTGTATCTATTGTATCTAATGTCCGTTTGCATAGTCAATTTATGTGTCACATAAGACGCATAGTTTGACATAATATGAGTCCTTACAAAATTTATTTATGTAATTATTACATAAAGTATATATAATAATATAATATATTATGTAGACTATATGTTTATATATAAGTAGTATCGGTCTATAAAATGGTACTATGATAGTGGTGGTACCTAGTACTTGGTACTTGGTACTTACTTTAGCTATTCAATTTCACAATAATATATTTTGATCATAGTAGCGATGCTATATTACCTGTTTATAGAAATTATCAAGTATTAAAAATTCTCTCCAAAATTAAATTAAGGCTCCCGGTGCCGATGCTATTTTGTTCTCAAAAATTCACTCTGCGGGAATAAGGATACCAAATTGTAGAACCACCAAATTTTTAATTTTTTTTTTTAATTGCTAGAGGGAAATATTCTACAGCCCGCGTCGATCTCCGTTTTTCAATATTTTATTCTCAAAATTGGTAATGTGTCTAAAAAAAAATACAAGATAAAAAGCATATTTTTTTTTAAATTTGAAAAACTGGCACCGGTACCCTTAATATACAATTAATGAGATACATTCAAAAACCATTCGTCATTTGTATTGAAAACTAAAATAGGTAACGTATTTATACAACTTTTTCGGCTATAGAACGATTGAGAACACTTAAAATTAACAAAGAACTATTACCACTGACCAGAAAAAAAAAACCAAAAAAAAAAAGACTGAGAACGAATTTACGCGCAACGTTGCCAGATTCAGTAATATAACTATACCTAAAATAAATATTCTTGGAAAAAGTCATAAATTGATAATTATAATATAAAATATTATAAAAATATAAATCACTTAATAAATAATAATATTTAGTATATGATATTAATAAAACATGTAATATAATATGTATAACTTGTAAAAAAATATATAATATACAGAATAATTTTTAAACATGCTCACTTCTATTTATTCAGATTTTTAGAAATTTTAAGTACACCTGAAGACCGTATCTTCAAATTCCTGACCGTTTTGGTTGTGGCGATACAAACTTCAATTTTTCAAATGAAAATCCCCTCATTTTGTGGGTGATTCTCATTAAAATGTTGATGTATCTAAATTCTAAATCATAATTCTAACAAGTAGTTTCCGACTTCATAAAATGTTCATACTAAGGATAACAATCCTTAAAATAAATATGGTGTTCATATATTATAGTGCTCAAATTATCGTTCGATTAAATTTGGCAATGTTGGAAAATAAATTAAATGTCGAGCGCTCTCAATCGCTTTACCAAAAATAACGATCTCAATCGTATTTTACCGACGTTTTCTTTTCCATATTGACATTGAATAATTAATTGATTTGGTTGAGCTAATCAAAACATAATATTGTCATGTACACAATGCATACTTAACTTGTTAAATATAAAAATCCATCCGTTATGTGAAAACGACGGTAAAATACGATTGGGAACGGTACGATTGAGAACGTGCGATATTTTATTTTTTTTCCAACGTTGCCAAATTTAATCGAATGATAATTTGTTGATATTGAACAGCAATATATTGTGTTAATTGTTATGAAAATTCTAACTGAAACTCAAAGCAGAAACAATATTATGCCCTATGGCAATAGCCAATAGGTTAAGTAGATTTGGGGTCATAGATGATCTAAACATGTTAGTGATTACTAATGATCTATCAATATAAATAATTTCTAAAAACGATTGAAGTATAACGAATACTACCTACATCTAATATTACATATAGTTTATATTTTTGTAAAACCATATTTAAGGATTATTATCCTTAGTATGAATATTTTAATTGTTTTTAACAATTATTATTAATTGATGACTTTTATCAAG